TCCCTACCCATACTCATAGGCATACCCTCGACCTAACATTCTCAAATATCCCCTTTGCTGAGGCTTATATTAGCCCACACCTTCACCCAGGGGCTGACCACCAAGCTATCACAATAATTATCCCTATAGGCAAGGCCCAGGAACAGAAACGCCAGACTGGCCACCTCTCAGTCCCAGAGTCAGCCTGTCAGAGCCCTCCCGGATAGGGGCTAGTCAGAGGTAGTAAGGAGTCCAAGCAACAAAGGAGCAGCTCAGATATATATACAGCGCAGGGAGTACACGTCGAGGGAGGAGTAGATTTCAGTAATTCATCATTCTACCCCTTACTGCAGTTGGCCTCTGAGAGCTTCCACCCTGCGTCAACAATCCCAACTTGACACAGCCCTACCCCGACTTATCGACCTAGTAAGAGCTGGAGCCTCAGCCTTACCTACCCTAGGGGAAGTACCTAGTCCAGCAGAGCTGGACACTCTAGCAACCCAACTAGTCAGCCTCTTCTATACAGCTATTCAAGCTGTAGGTAAGAGACGGACAAATCAGGGTAGGGGAGCCCCCTGGTGGACAGAAGAGTGTGCAGAAGCCCACCGAGCTGCTATCGAGGCTAGGCGCCAGCAGGCCCAGGAACCTGGGCTAGTTATACCTCCCCCTATCCTAGAGGAGCAAAAGATCTTCTTAACAACTGTTAGAAGGGCAAAACGCGCTTACTGGACTACTAAGATCGAAGGGGCTAAGACAGACCAAGACCTATATAAGATAGTAGGCTGGCGGAAGTCTAGCTTAGCTGTTAAAGGCCCGCCCCTTATAGTAGAAGGTCAGTATTCGACAACAGCTACGATAAAGCCCAGGCCCTACGAAAGGCCTTACTAGAGAGATTCAACGCTACAGACGACTTACCTGGGGATCCTTTTACTATCCCAGTAGTTACACAGCGTCTAATGCCCTGACAGGATGTGGTTAGCATGGAAGAAGTACGCCATGCTACTCTGACAAAGACTACAACCCCTGGGATTGACGGGATTACTACAAATTTACTACAGCAGACCTGGGAATCAGTAGCTAGGCCTATATAGCAGCTCTTCCAGGCCTGTATTCAAGTAGGCCACTTCCCCAGACCGTTCCGCAAAGTATAAGTTGTCATAATCCAGAAGCCAGGGAAAACAGACTTCTCGAAGACTGGGTCTTGGCGACCGATATCCCTTTTATCCTGCTTGGGTAAAGGCCTAGAGCGGCTAATAGTAAGAAGGATGGCCTACCTTACTATCCTAGAAGGGGTTACTAGCCCGTAGCAGGTTGGAGCACTACCAGGGAGGGCTGCAGTCGACCTAACAGCCTGTCTGACCCACGAGATCGAGAGGGTTCTAGACTTAGGGCTTACTACAACTCTTGTAATAATGGACGTTAAAGGGGCTTTTGACTCTGTCCTAAGAAACCGACCTATTATTAGGCTACGACAGTAGGGCTGGCCTAGTCATCTGATTAGGCTGATCTTCACCTTTACCTCTAGCCGAGCAGCCCGGGTCAGGCTAGAGGATATAACTACAGAGGATTTCCCTCTATCCTGTGGGCTACCACAAGGCTCCCCACTATCCCCTATTCTCTTTCTGCTATATATAGCGGATGTCTTAGCCGACGATCAGAAGCTACGGTTTGGCTATGCGGATGATATAGGCTTAGTAGCTACTAGCCCGTCGCTAGAAGGAAATGCTATAGCCCTAGGCCAAAAGATCACTCATATCCTTAACTGGGGCACTGATAACAAGGTTGCTTTTGACCCAGCTAAGTGTGAGGCAGTCCACTTTAGCAGGAAACATAACCAGACAAAAGACCTACCAGATATATAAGCGAGGGGCCTAACTATTAAGGCCCTAGCTAGGCCTGTACGATGGCTAGGAGTCTGGTTTGATAAGAGACTTACCTTCCATCACTATGTCGAAACTAAGGTGGCGGCAGCAAGGAAGGTAGCCCAGTTCCTTCGGCACCTAACAAATACTAAAGGGGGGCTCCCAGCAGCCGCAGTACGAAAAGCGGTTATTGCCTGTGTCCTTCCAACAGCCCTATATGGAGTTGAGACCTGGTATGCGGGCCTAACCAAACCAGCCCTAAACAGCGGCACCAATACTAGCAGTAGTACTGCTTTACAGATAGCTACAGTTAGTACAGGACAGAAGGGCCTGGCCCGTAGAGTTAGCAAAGTTATTACAGCAGCAGCAAGGGCTATCCTGCCTGTCTGGAGAACCACACCGACCAGCACCCTAATCCGAGACGCTGGCCTTCCTACAGCAGAGGTAGCCCTCGAAGCAGCGCGACTACGCTTCGCTATACGCCTGCAGGAGGTTGACCAACAGCATCCCTTGGTCCCAAGGCTGCTACAGCCAGGGCGGCAACAGACCAGGCTCCAAAGAACAGCTGGCCTGTTACCTAATTGTCCAAGGCCAGCACTCCTACAGCCGCAATACCTCCCAGGGTCTTATGACCTTATAGTTACACAGACGAAGGATGTAGCAGCTAGGATCTTCCAGGCCTGGCTCAAGACTGTGCCAGGTCAGCATACAGTCGTATACTCAGACGGCTCCAAAGCTCCTGACGGAGCTACAGGGTACGGCTTTGTTATCTACCGCAATAATAAACGTATAGCCCAGGGCTGCGGCCGTCTCGGCTTAGCAGAAGTGTTTGATGGTGAGGCGGAGGGGGCGAGGGCTGGGCTCCGACGGGCCCTTCAGACCTCCCAAGGCCAGCCTATACACATCTGCATCGACAATACCAGCGTTATTTAGGGGATTCGCGGTAAGGTCCCAGACTCCTCACAAGCGGCCTTCCTTGAGATCCAGGAGGTAGGCAGGATATACGATATATAAACCTATTGATCTCCTGGGCACCAAGGTATTAAAGGAAACGAAGAAGTAGATAGCCTAGCTAAGGAGGGCATAACCCTACTAGTCCTAAGGGGATAGCTAGCAACTCTATCAGGGATCAAACGGCTTGCTAAGGAGCGTATACGTCGCTAATATAGAAAATGGTGGAAACGGGAGGCAATATCGTGCTACACCTAGCTAGGACTTAAGGCTACCCTCGCTTACGCTCCCGAACTAGCCCTGCCGCGGGCTATCCTTTATTATCTCCTAGTAGCCCGATCAGGCTATGGAGACTTTGAACAATACTACTAACGCTTTAACTATATAGAAGCACTGCTTACTTGCTCCTGCGGGGAAGTAAAGGCGGTAGACTATCTAGTCTACTGCCAAAAGACCCTAGTTAGGAGGTATTAGTGGCCTACCCTCCACCCTTCTAGCCTACTCGATCCTATAGGACCTATAGGATCTCTTGAGCGGTACTATAAGGGGTTAATCACTGATCCTATTGGCTTCTAGGCCTTTCTCCGCGTGATAGACTTCTTTCAGAAGATCTGCCCGCGGTACTAAGGACTAGGTCTTGACCTAGGCCCGACTAACGAATTTCTCCTAGAGGGACAGACGGTAGCAACGGAACTAGGGAACCAGCGGGAACTAGGAACGGATAGAACAGACAGTAGCCCACGGGCAAGATTTGGTGGACGTTAGGAAAAGGCGTGTACTATAGAGTATATAGCTCGAGCCTACGGCCCTCCACGCCATATACCCTTCGGGAGGTCTGCCGCAGGGGCGGCTGCGCCTGTGCCGCTACGGCGTTAAATATAACAACACAACAACGAAGGCAGAGGCCCGGTTCCAAATGATCGGACCCGTGGCGGTGTCACGTGGCTGCGCCATCTCCTTCCACTGTTCCATTGTCTACGGAACCAAAGAGTCAATTTCTTGGTTAAACCCAATGCTCACGGTCCAAGCGAGAACGAGCCATGACGGAAGAAAGTTGCCGTAGGCAACGTCGGGGACGAAAAGAGGCACAACACGAGTCAGGTCTGGCCAGTAAGCCATCATCATACCGTTGCATGGCGCGTTTGACCAAAACTCTATTCGTCGAGAGTTGACGGTATTTGTTCATCACCGCTTGGACATTCCGCGCACACGCACGGCACTAGGATGCCACGTGCGGCAGCTATCCATGAGAGCGTGCGCAAAAATCCCTAGATTTCTATACATGAGGAACAAGATCCGATTGATCCTGCCCCCCAAAGCCCAATGCTAAAGCTTCCCAATCAATGCCCATCTTTCCCCGTTGCCCCGTGCCGTTTCACAGAATTCCCCATCACCCCCTCCCGCCTCACCGTACGGAAGAGAGCGCACCATTTTATCCTCTACAAGGACATACGAGCAATTGTCAGCGGAAGCATCGACCAATTTCATCGTCGTCGTCAAGGGCTTCGAAACATTGATTCATCGCGGGCCTCCGCTTCCGCTCGGCACATCTAGGATCGGCTTCTCCAGGCTGGGAACTGACGACGATTATCTTGATGGGGCCTCAATAGCAATTCGCGACAGCACGCAGGAGCTGGAGCCATGGAGTCGGAAAGCGTCGAGGTGGTGATGCGCCGTCTAAGCCTCAATCATGAAGCGGAGCCTCTCGCCGGGAAGGTCGTCAGCATCATCGTCGCGATGATATCGGCCTGTCTTCTTGCTAGTCTTTTTGGTCAGTGCTTTGATTGCAGATCCGACTTCGGATCTAATATGCTAACATCATTGATAGTCATGAGATTCACCTCAGTGAAGGACTGGAAAGCGTTGCCGTGGACGATGTGGCGTGAGGAACCCTCCCGATGATAAGCCTTGCTCCTTGACGTTTACTAACTATCGTAGTCGTGGTACTTATCTACTTCTTCTCATTTCTGTTTGTCTTCGGCACATCAATTCTACAATTCGGATTCGGAGCCGACCTGAACTTCGACACTTGCTCGGCAGCGACCCTCTTCTGTTTGGGAGCATATGTGTCTACAAAGGTAAGCTGGAATCGTCACAACTCATCACTCCCATTGATCTTTGGCTAACCGAGGAACTAGTTGGTGAGTGCGTGTCATTCGAGTGAACTACAGCGGACTCTAACAGTGTTAAAAGTTCATCTACCTCTTCATGGTTGATAGGGCAGTAAGTCAATTCGTGCGGTAGTGTCGATTCATATGGCTCATATCAATGTCTAGCACATCATTAGACAAACGAGGAAAAGGCGCTTAAAGTCAAAACTCTATGTCTTCAACTCATTCGGCATGTTGGGTACGTTTCCAAGCTCAAGCTACGTATATAGTCTTGATAAACTGACCTCTGGGCTAGGCGTGTTTGTCCTGGTTGTTATTATGAACTTTATCTTGTACGTGCGGATGTTTGCAGTGTAGTTCATTCCGCTAACAATCTTCGCAGCCGAATCACCCATTTCGAAGGTGGTATCTGCATCATTGGGATGGAACAGCCCGTGTTGCTACCCCTCATCTCATTTGACGCAGCTGTGAACGTAAGTATGATCTTGATTGACGGGGAACATCATCTAACTTGGAACAGGTTTATCTCACGATTTTGTTTTTACTTCCTTTACTGAGTAAGCTTCAAAGCACAATAATGATTGTGTAATATGACACTGATGGGTTCCAGGTCTGCACTCTGTAAAGTACAACTTCTGGAAGCCATGGACATTGGACTGGCGGAATCGTCGCATCCCCAGAGCTCCACCCAACGTCCGGCTAAGAAGACTCGTGATACGCACTTTTATCGGGTCTTGTTGCACCCTAGTTAGTAGTGTGACGTACGTATCCTTTCACTTTCTGGGGAGAACTGGCGCTGATCAGAAGTACAGAAACTTGAGTGTTCTCATGGCTTTGAATGGAGAGGTAGCATGGCTGTGCTTGCTATGCTGCAATACCGATAGTGAGTATTCGCACACGACCTCGCATACGTATGTCAATTTTACTGAGACCTTTTAGTCTTCTTCTCGGCCCTGGTGATCAACTGGATTACGTCGCCTGGCCAGGAGTCAACATTACGAACCTTAACCCGACCGTCACGCGGTATATTCACGCTGAGGGACGACGCCGTTACTATTCCGCTGGATCCCGACGGAAACAGCACGAGCACGAGCAAGACGTGGGAGCAAAGGCGATCAAAAACACCGACAACAATTGGCCTCGAATCAGCAGAGGCGCTTGATGATGATGATACAGAACTAGACGAGCGCCATATTCGAGACGACGATGATGCCGAGGCAGATCAGACTTTCGAAAGGGAAGCGAGGCACTCGGACGACGAGGACGACATTGAAATAAGCGCTGCCGAATTACGAGGAGCCCAGATATGAGCAGCGAGATGGGTGCTGGGGTCATGACGAAATTTACGAAAAATTCATGTTCTTTTGGATTCAACTACAGGTTATTGGATATGGGATAGAGCGGAGTTGGTTATGGATGTGAGATGGGGATTCGGTGTCATCGCGACATGATATTACGAGTACACTTGAGGCGCGACTCTGGGACGTCGCCCTACTATGCGGACGAATTTCTAATGGCGATCTCACGAAATCGAGATGCTTCACAATTGGATCATTTCAAGATAATGTGATGAAGACATAATGCCGGGGTTTCTGACAGGTGACTCACGGACGTTAATATCACGCCTTGCTTTCTCTTCGATGGCAATAATATGTGTGAGACAGACAGCCTCCAGCAAGTCGACTGCCGGAGACGTCAAAACGACGGTGCCTGGACCATGTTTGTTGCCCTGAGGACGCGATCTGAAATCAATTCTTATATACAAATTCCAACAAACGGAAAGGGACACCGTTGAAGAAAAAAAGAGTTTATGTCAAGTATTATAGGCGGGTATGTTGGGGCAAGCCCGAGGATGAAGGTCGGCATCATGATGACGAACGGTATGTTCCAACCGGAGCCAAGACGGGAATGGAAATTTCAATAACTCTATTTCTTCGTGCACCACTTCTACTAGCATCTTCCATCAGACGGATCGTGGGTCTGACACCAATGGCTACAGCCTTGTTCGCATCTTCATTGGTCGTACCCGTTTGAATTTGTGCTTCTAAGTTGAGCTTCCATCTAGGTCAATGATGCGATGTCTACTCCCCATCGACCTGTTCGCCGCGACTCGAGAAAAATTCATGAATCGTCCCCCACAAAGTTCAGCTTATTTTATCCCCTTACGGACACTCGTTCCTCAAGATCTCACATGCGCCGGAGCTGTCACAGCACGCACCCAACCGTCCCTGACAAGTGCCGAATTTGCATGCTTTCTGGGCCTCTGCAATAAGTTAGCACGATGCATTACGGAAATAGTATTCAGCAACGTAGGAGTGACGAACCGGCCATAGCGAGGATTGAGCAATCGCGAGCAGGGTCTTGGTGAGTTGCATTTTGGACCGCCGATAGGTGGAAATACTACGCTTAGAGTTTAATCGGATATTACGTCAAGTTTCTCGGGCTTTGATGTGGTTCGATATGCTAGGATTCCAAAAAGGTTAATTGAAAGAGGAATGATGGACTCAAGACAAATTGTCAGCGAAGGATGACTTGCGGATTTCGTGGTTTTATATCTGAGAGGCATCTATCCGTACTATCTATACGACATAATGTTTGCAAAAGGTTCGATCGGTCCAATTTACCTGTCTCGAAGAGTGTCCCACGTGGGCTCATGTCAATACTGCGATCAAACTCGTATCTGTGCAAGTGAAAGCTGCTTTGAAGCGCGTGGTGCTGACAATCAAACGCTGACGGGGAAAAGTCCACATGAGTTCCGATGTATCTCCACGTGGTTTCGAGTAATTCGCGTGGCATCGAGGAAAATATCTGGGGTACCCCAAGTTTTTGCATTATTTTCGGGGACTTAGGCTGAGATTCTCAGACGACATGTCATGAATAAGACAGGGTTTGCTGGTTGACTACTAAGGCAAAGGCATCAGACGTATTAAGAAAGACAATGGTGACCGAATATGTCGCAAAAACGACGCCGCTAATTACGGGCAGCAATTAACGCCATATATACCCTACGACAGAATACAAATATAGAAATTACCAACATGCGGATCGACTTGAACAAAGATATCCAAGGTGATGAAAAGATTGAATTGTAGAAGTTGTACTTCTTTCCATCTATTATCTTCGGCGATTAAATTGGGACTCTAGGGACGCATCTATGTTGTCTTTTCAAGAATCACATTGTCCCGAGTCAGCAAATGGCTTGGCTGCGTTTGCAATTTCCCAGGCCTCTTGAGGCACGCAGATCTGGCAGGGAATTAGCAGTGCATGTGTGTCCTCTCACCTTGGCATGTAGCACATAGGAGCACCATTGCCATAGAGCGTTCGAACATGGGCCTTTGTGTCGACTCCTATGACCATTTTGTCATGCGGCCAGCAACCTTTTAACCCATTTATATATATAACTGCCCCCCCCCCCCAAGTCAATTCCGATGTAGTAGGATTTTTTGTCATCGCGGCCTCAGATCAGAGTAGTCTCCGTTACTTAGCAGGCCTCTGGAGTTGATCATGCACACAGATGAGACCGATGCTGTCGTCAGCAAACAGGGGCTGGAAGATTAGCAACGAAGAAGGAACGAGGACAAGGGTATCTGGCTTATTCTACACATGGCCACTGTGGTCCAGACCAGTCTTCCTTGCGGCGTCTTCTTGGACTTCATTTGTACGTTTTGAACCCGTTGAGGGAAAATATGCGCGAGAAGGTATGCCAAAACTACTTGGAGAACAACGTCATTGACAAACAATTGGAACCCCCAGGTGGACGTTCTTTAAATTCCACGAGAAGCACTGAGCGGGCCTTGGAGAATCAACAACTTACCAGCACAGCACATGTCTACGGGTAATCAGGCTCTTATGCCCCTGGTCAATCCGAGTTTTACTCTCACAAACCCATAACGTTTGAAGCATTTTAACTCCTTTCAGTAAAACCTCGACGGATGCAAACGACCCAACAAACAGTGGTGGTCAAACTGCCTCTACAATGTTGCAGGATCTTGGTATTATTGGATTGATACGAAAGGAGTAGCGACAGCCGGGATCCCGAAGATCCATGTCGCCCCAGAACACTTTGGTATTAACTGGCTGATAACCATCCCTTTTGGGCCCATCGTAAAAACCATATGCTACGGAACTACCACCGTCGCAATCCCCTCTCCCAACTCCTCCTTCACATTCCTTACTTCCACAAACTCTGTGTGGAGAGACGTGCCACCGTCAGGCTTGTCACGTCTGAAAAACCCAACCACTCTTCCACGCACAATGTGCCCGTTCATATTCTTTTCTTCCGTCTTGGGCTCCGTCCAAATATCCGCCACCCTCTTTTCGTTTGGCGGCAAAGGCGCCGAGGGTGAGACCGGAACCGTAGGCCGCCCTGCAGGGTCGAGAGAAATGCCATGTTCCAGCTCAATGACCCTCCGCGCCACGGCAACTAATGTCGCCATCTCCCACAGATTCTCGCGTGGGAGTCCAAGAATGGGCATCAGCCGGAGTAACTCCAGCCGCGTCTCCAGCTGACGACATGTCGTCGTGAAGAAGAACAACATGGGCGTGTACCCTGTTTCAAACATGAATTTCGACGTTTTGGCGTGGACGCCTTCCATTTTCGAGTGTTCTGATATTTGGACAACCATTTCGGCGAGGTTTTTCGCTAGTCGGCTGTAGTTTGACACGTACTTATCGTAGCCAGTCAAGTTGTTGGTGAATGCCATATTCAGCCAGATACGGCAGCACTCGTATCGAGTGGACAGAAAGCCACGCAGCATATTCGGTACGTAGTCCGGTTTTGTCTCGGATGCCTCAGTTGGGGGTGAGGATGAGTATTTGCTCTGGTTATTCAACTGGGTAAAGAGAATGCTCCACCGATCGAGCATACTATTGACGTATTCTTGCCGCGCTAGTAATTTCGGAGGAACGCCATTTCCTGTTGGCGACAGGGAACGAAAAGGGTATCCTTGCTTCATGAGCTGGAGGGTTTGGCAGTAGAGGTCGTCAATCATCAACTGGGCGTCTTGGAACGAGGAAAAGCTGGGGGGCACAGGATGTTCCAGTCCGCTCAAGTCCGGAAAGTCGGCCTTTTCGCCGCTGAAGAAGAACGAATACTCTGTGAGGCGTCGGAAAAGTGGGAGAAGATGCTCCTTCGTCCAGGGGAACTCGCTGTGGGTATTTCGTAGGAGCGCGACCCCATGCTTGCAGTGTTTAATAGCGGCTTCGCGCCCAGACTGCAGGAACTCAATGCAGATGAACAGGACACAGACAAGCAGAACCGTGGGGTGCTTGTCCTGCGTCTTCATGCCTATCAGCTCTCGCATGGCCGCGTTGTAGTGCCGCACGGCAAAACTGTAGTCCCGCGGGGCAACGATCTCGTCGGTTCCGGTGTGGAACTGCTCATAGAGGTCGCTGATAGCTAGAATCGAGTGTGTTACGGCCGGCTCAAATGTGCTGAACTGCATGACTATGTGCGTCCAGAAGTAAGGATCAACGGCCCCAGAGAGGAGCGGGCCCACGGCTTCGGCAAAGTACTGCAGAGCGCGGTTGTCGCTTGGGGAACTGACTCCTGGAGAGGCGCGACTTGGCTGGACCGTCAGGACCACTGACGGACCCGAACCCGGGGAACTGGATGAGACATCTGTCAAGTCGGCGACGTGTGGATAGCCGTCGCATTTGCGGCCAGTCGCGGTACAGCGCTTGCAGGATGGTCTGCTCTCATCGCACTTGATCTTACGTACTCTAGCGAGCGTTAGACGACGCGCCAACTCATCTTGAAAACCTTACTCTCGGGTTCGTCTCCCGCGATCCAATCGGACGGCAATAGATGGAACTTACTTGCAGGTCAAACATCCCGTCCTCACCTTTCGGCTACCTTTCCGAGCCATAGTTCCGCTAAAAAAGACAAGACAAGCGGTACGAATATCCGTAAAGGCTCGAGCCAGCCTTGTTGTCAGTCTGTTAGTCTCGAGTCCGAACCAGCCACTGACGTGATGCGCGTGCCGGTCAGGGGCAAATGACCGTTGGACGCTCTCGGTGAACAGGCAGCCTGATGAGAAAGAATTTTGGGAGTCCGAGGGCGAGGTGCAGGAATGCGAGCGGAGACAGCCCGAGATAATATCTGTGCCCACCAACCTCAGAAGAGAAATTGTGGAAAACGCCAGGGTGAAACCGAACCCACCAATGTGAGGGTGAGATTCCCAAAGAAACCCTGCCGTCAGCATGGGGTAGGATTGAGAGCTCCGCTTAGGACGCGGTGTAGCTGTTTGTCTAACCCATTTTGGGACTAACGGTTTTTATAAACAAGCTGCAAACGTTTAGGCAACGATTCAAAAAGAAAAATGTCTTGGTGTGACGGTTCAATCGTTCACGCAATTGATGACGGGTGCACCCGTAGCTTGCTAAATCTCATCGGGAGGTCATGGTGCTGATCGATTGGATCGTATGATGGGAACCTGCAGATTTGTTCCTGGCTTTTAAGTGGATACAGATACGATGGTCTGGAATTTTGTTCCGGTTGGAGGGGATTGATGTTGTTGGTATACACGTCAGCAGGGCAACCGTACGGTTGGAACGAAGTGTCAATAATGGTCTATTATTGCTGCGTCTGGAGGTGGAAGGAGGAGATTGTGGGCAGAGCCCACGATCTCCCAGAAGTGGTATATAAGTGAAAGGGCCGTTTGTAAGTGCCCATACCGCCTTCCGGATCCATCTTTTCTGCCGACTGCTCAGAGATCCAACAGATGTCTTGATATTTGAGGGGAAATGTGAATTGTTGTACAACGGTCTCTGCGAAATCGGGAGGTAACAATCCGATCCAATTGAATGAAGGCTGCGAAATCTATTCCGAAATCTCTATAGCTCCATATCAGCTACATGGCCCATGGAAACATCCCACATAGTTGGTCTCCCATGCGTTGCTTCTCTCCATGCATTCGTACATCTGATACGATCTGCGTACACCACCAAGATGCCGGGTACCAGATCTTGTCTTCCGCAATCTTGAAGACGGGTAATTAGTGGAACCAAGTGGGCGTCTAAGACGGTCGGACCAACAGCTTGGCCAAAAAGCCATTCATCAACCTCATTGTAAGTGTCGCTAATCTCACCAAAGGCCTCTTTTGTCCGAGTCTCTGCCAAGAGTACTTGATCATCTTCCAGCGCACTTTCCACGTATTTTTTATGACTGCACTATCCTTCAGCTCCAAAAAGACACATCCAAGACCCATACCTCGATTGCGACAACTTACAAATCGGCTTTGAACTGCAACGCTCTCCGGTAGTCTTCAGGGATTTCACTGGCTGAACTGAGTTTCCCGGCAGCCATATTGGGAACCCCATACATGCGAGCTTTCTTCTCAAACACAGAGAGAGAAAGAGCTTGGATGCTGTGGATCTTGGCCAGATGTGATTTGATCTGCATTTCATGTTCCCGTGGCAAGAGATGAGGATATCGTTGGCAAAACCTATTGTCGGATTGGAAGTCCAATCCGGCCGCGAGTAGGTGCAGAGCATGGGCCACCTCGAGGTGGTACAGTTAGACCGCGACTACCCAACCAACCTACGGTTGGAATCTCCCTTCTACTCCTTACGCAGAATCAATCAATACAGAGATATTGATACTTCGTCACCCCCAGGACCCTACGGTTCGAACCAACTTCCCTGTGATAGGGATACCAACACCTATATGAAATTTCCAGGGAACTGTTCAGTGAGTTTGCTAGACTTTCCCCGTCAGAGCTGGAACCTTGATTGAGTTAATTTTGTTAGAAAACATATTTCCGCTGGACCTTAAAGAGGATGACTACTGCTGATCAGACTAACAAAGTAACGGAGTCCTTACTTGGCCCTTGGGATTGACCGTCAGAAGATGGTCTGAAGAGAGGTTCTCATTGCGATGTAGATTATGCAACTTGAGTTGCATTTTCAACTTTTCTTCCTTCAGGCCACTGTTCCCAAATACATATGTGAGTCTAGTCATTATAGAGTAAAAAGAAAAGGGGAAAATGTGAAGGGTAAACTCTGGTGGGCCGCCAGCCCCAGTCCCAGCTTCCTCGTTGTTCGACATTATGTTGATGAGCTGCGATTGGAGCAGAACTTCTACTTCTACTTAATGGATGAAGGATTATGGAGCTGTATTTATGTAGCATGCAGCCTTCGGCAATTCTAAATCAGGCAGCAGGCAATTGTCTGACATGCATATTCTAAGCGGGGTAAGGTATGTAGTGATATCTCAACCCCCGATGATTGGTAATGGTGCTGAGACGCATTTTCACGTCACCCGTTGGATCCGGACTCGCCAACCAGACTGCGTTCTGCGATGTGCTTTCCCAGTACTTAGACAACCAGAACGAGAACTCCCGGATGCATCCTGGCAATAAGATTCCTGAAACTGAAAGCTTTTGGTAAAGCCTAGATTTCGAGCGCTCGTCTTACTCTCAAGTTTGCGCCCCGAACACTGCGAGCTACCTTAGCATCAACGGCAAAGTCTTCTAAGGTAGTAGAAATCAAGACCCCTTTAGAGAGACAACAGAGAAGCAGTGAGTCCTGGTTTTCATTTTTAATTCGCATTCGAAGAGGATAGATGTACTTTAATCTTACTCCTCCTAATACTTATATTATGTAATGGACTACGACTTGAAGTCATGCCGTTTAATCAACATGCTAAAAGTGTGGCTAGAGTTGAAGAAAGTTCAGATAGGTGACGGTAAGTTTCTATCGTATTATGTCTCTCAGACATCTCCGGTAGAACTAAGACACGTATTAATAGCGGGTAGGGGCGGGCCCAAGCTGGCAACGGTTGTTGTTGTTGTTGTTGTTCTATTTAACGCCATGGCGGCAAGGGCGCAGCCGCCCTTGCGGCAGACCTCCCGAAGGGTATGTGGCGTGAAGGGTCGCAGGCTCTAGCTATATACTATATAGTACACGCCGTCTCCTGACGTCCTCCAAATCTTGCTCGTGAGCTACTATGTGTTCTATCCATCCCTAGTTCCCACTGGTGCCCTAGTTCCGTTATAACCATCTGGTTTCTTAATAGAGGTAGTTTGTCGTTTGGAGGATAGGTTATGACCTATCTCCTAGTACCGCGGGCAGATCTTCTGGAAGAAGTCTGTCACGCAGAGGAAGGCCTGGAAGCCTTCAGAGTCAGTGATTAGCCCCTTGAAGTAGCGATCGAGGGACCCTATAGGTCCTACGGGCTCCTGGCGGCTGTAGGGGTAGAGGGTGGGCCACTGTTGCCTCCTCAGTAGGGTCTTTCGGCAGTAGACTAGATGGTCTGCCTCCTTAACCCATCCACAGGAGCAGGTGAGTAGTGCTTCTGTGTGGTTAAAGCGTTGGTGATATTGTTCAAAGTCCCCGTGGCCTGACCGTGCCGCGAGGAGGTGATGAAGGGCAGCCCTAGGGAGGCCAAGTTCAGGAGGGCAAGCAAGGGTAGCCTTGAGCCCTAGTTGGGTATAGCGGGGAGTTGCCTCTTGTTTCCACCATCGTCTATATTGGCGTCTTGGCTGCTCTTTAGCAAGCCACTTGATACCTGATAGAGTAGCTAGTTGGCCCCTAAGGACTGGTAGAGTTGTTCCCTCCTTAGCTAGGCTGTCTGCTTCTTCGTTTCCTTTAATACCTTGGTGCCCAGGAGACCAATGGGTTTGTATATCGTGTATCCTAGCTACCTCCTGGATCTCGAGGAAGGCCGCTTGTGAGGAGTCTGGGATCTTACCGCGAATCCCCTGAATAACGCTGGTATTGTCGATGCAGATGTGTATAGGCCGGCCTTGGGAGGTCTGAAGGGCCCGTCGGAGCCCAGCCCTCGCCCCCTCCGCCTCACCATCAAACACTTCTGCTAAGCCGAGACGGCCGCAGCCCTGGGCTATACGTTTATTGTTGCGGTAGATAACAAAGCCGTACCCTGTAGCTCCGTCAGGAGCTTTGGAGCCGTCTGAGTATACGACCGTATGCTGACCTGGCACAGTCTTGAGCCAGGCCTGGAAGATCCTAGCTGCTACTTCCTTCGTCTGTGTAACTATAGGGTCATAGGACCCTGGGAGGTATTGCGGCTGTAGGAGCGCTGGCCTTGGACACTTAGGTAAAAGGCCAGCTGTTCTTTGAAGCCTGGTCTGTTGCCGCCCTGACTGCAGCAGCCTTGGGACCAAGGGATGCTGTTGGTCAACCTTCTGCAGGCGTATAGCGAAGCGTAGTCGCGCTGCTTCGAGGGCTACCTCTGCTGTGGGAAGGCCAGCGTCTCGGATGAGGCTACTGGTCGGTGTGGTTCTCCAGACAGGCAGGATAGCCCTTGCTGCTGCTGTAATAACTTTGCTAAGTCTACGGGCCAGGCCCTTCTGTCCTGTACCAACTGTAGGTATCTGTAAAGCAGTGCTACTGCTAGTATTGGTGCCGCTGTTTAGGGCTGGTTTGGTTAGGCCCGCATACCAGGTCTCAACTCCATACAAGGCTGTTGGAAGGACACAGGCAATAACCGCTTTTCGTACTGCGGCTGCTGGGAGTCCCCCTTTGGTATTTGTTAGGTGCCGTAGGAACTGGGCTACCTTCTTTGCCGCTGCCACCTTAGTTTCGACATGGTGACGGAAGGTGAGTCTCTTGTCGAACCAGACTCCTAGCCATCGTACAGGCTTAGTTGAGGCCTTAATAGTTAGGCCCGTCGCCTGTATATCTGGTAGGTCTTTTGTCTGGTTATATTTCCTGCTGAAGTGGACTGCCTCACACTTAGCTGGGTCAAAAGCAACCTTGTTATCAGTGCCCCAGTTAAGGATATGAGTGATCTTTTGGCCTAGGGCTATAGCATTTCCTTCTAGCGACGGGCTAGTAGCTACTAAGCCTATATCATCCGCATAGCCAAACCGTAGCTCTTGATCGTCGGCTAGGATATCCGCTATATATAGTAAAAAGAGAATAGGGGATAGTGGGGAGCCTTGTGGTAGCCCACAGGATAGAGGGAAATCCTCTGTAGTTGTATCCTCTAGCCTGACCCGGGCTGCTCGGCTAGAGGTAAAGGTGAAGATCAGCCTAATCAGATGACTAGGCCAACCCTGCTGTCGTAGCCTGATAATAAGTCGGTTTCTTAGGACAGAGTCAAAAGCCCCTTTAACGTCCATTGTCACAAGAGTTGCAGTGAGCCCTGAGTCTAGAGCCCTCTCGATCTCGTGGGTCAGACAGGCTGTTAGGTCGACTGCAGCCCTGCCTGGTAGTGCTCCAACCTGCTGTGGGCTAGCAACCCCTTCTAGGATAGTAAGGTAGGCCATCCTTTTGCTATTAGCCGCTCTAGGCCTTTACCTAAGCAGGATAAAAGGGATATCGGACGCCAAGACCCAGTCTTCGAGAAGTCTGTTTTCCCTGGCTTCTGGATCATGACAACTTCTGCTTTGCGGAACGGTCGAGGGAAGTGGCCTACTTGAATACAGGCCTGGAAGAGCTGCTGTATAGGCCTAGCTACTGATTCCCAGGTGTGTTGTAGTAACTTTGTAGTAATCCCGTCAATCCCAGGGGTTGTAGTCTTTGTTAGAGTAGCCTGGCGTACTTCTTCCATGCTGACCACATCCTGCCAGGGCATTAGACGCCGTGCAACTACTGGGATAGCGAAAGGGTCCCCAGGTAAGTCGTCTGTAGCGTTAAATCTCTCTAGTAAGGCCTTTCGTAGGGCCTGGGCTTTATCGTAGCTGTTGTCGATTGTCTGACCTTCCACTATAAGAGGCGGGCCTTTAACAGCTAAGCCAGCCTTCCGCCAGCCTACTATCTTATATAGGTCTTGGTCTGTCTTAGCCCCTTCGATCTTAGTAGTCCAGTAAGCGCGTTTTGCCCTTCTAACAGTTGTTAAGAAGATCTTTTGCTCCTCTAGGATGGGGGGAGGTATAACTAGCCCAGGTTCCTGGGCCTGCTGGCGCCTAGCCTCGATAGCAGCTCGGTGGGCTTCTGCACACTCTTCTGTCCACCAGGGGGCTCCCCTACCCTGATTTGTCCGTCTCTTACCTACAGCTTGAATAGCTGTATAGAAGAGGCTGACTAGTTGGGTAGCTAGAGTGTCCAGCTCTGCTGGACTAGGTACTTCCCCTAGGGTAGGTAAGGCTGAGGATCCAGCTCTTACTAGGTCGATAAGTCGGGGTAGGGCTGACTCTGGGACTGAGAGGTGGCCAGTCTGGCGTTTCTGTTCCTGGGCCTTGCCTATAGGGATAGTTGTTGTGATAGCTTGGTGGTCAGCCCCTGGGTGCAGGTGTGGGCTAATATAAGCCTCAGCAAAGGGGATATTTGAGAATGTTAGGTCGAGGGTATGCCTATGAGTATGGGTAGGGACCCCAACCTCCCCAATAAACGAAAGATCGTAGCCTTCAGCCCACTCTGCAATATCGTCCCCCCGATTCCGGCTAGGGGAGCCTAGTTCCCAGGTAGGGTAGCGGACGTTAAAGTCCCCGGCTACAAAGGCTCTTTCTAGCGGATAATATCCTAGGAGAGCAGTAGTCGTATGGTTTATCGGCTCACCTAGCGGCCTATATACATTAATAATAATAAAGTTGCCAGCCTTAACCCATAAGATATCTCTCGTTTAGGTAGGCCTTTATTACTATATTTATAGTCTTAAACTCTTGCGTATATAAGTTATAACCCTAGGTCTTATATCTCTATTATTCCAGAAGTTAACTAGGATATAGGAGTTAAAGCCTGGGTATGTATTAATCTATATTTTATCTTTATAGCCTATCCAGGGTTCCTAGATTAGTACTATATCGATTTGATCTTCCTAGCAGAGCTCTAGGAGAGCTGTATGAGCTAGGCTTTTCTTCCCTACGTTACACTGGGCTACCCGTAGTACCCGTGGAGCAGTTGGTCTGAGCCTACTGTTCCGAGTCGAGATCGAGGTGGGTGTAGGCATTAATAACATTGTAATCAGGCTTCTGTACTAACCTCTGGCTCCTGCTGCTGCTCGGGAGCGGGCGGATAGGGCGGTTGGTTAGGGGGAGGGCTTCAGAATCTTCAGCCTCATCCTCAACCATAATGCTGCTTCCAACTACGCTAGCGGTATCTGCTACAACAATTGAGTCTTGTATGGGTGTGAGGGGTCGAGGGCGCTTAGATATCGGCTGTTGCCCATGTGTAGCGCTTGGTCCAGCCTCAGGTTGCTGGTTGCTGCCC